TTGCACACACAGACGGAGAGAAAGCTTGGGGGTTAGGCCTGGGTTTGACGGAAGCTGCCTTGTAATTCGGCGACGCTTTTCTGTAAACGCAGCCGACACCGGTCTGTTCTGGCAAAAGCAGCCGTTCTCTTCCTCAACAGAGAGGCGCCCGGGGATCAACCTCATTACACAAGCCAAACCCTGCTCCCTGCAAACAGCCTCCATTCGTGATTTCCAAGAGGAAGGGAGAGGGAGAGAGACAGAGAAACATCAATGATGAGAGAGCATCATGGATCGGCTGCCTCCTGTACGCCCCACACGGGGGATCGAGCCCACAATCTGGGCCTGTGCCCTGACCGGGAATCCAACTGTGACCTCCTGGTTCCCAGGCCGACGGTCTATCCACTGAGCCACCCCGGCCAGGGTGTCCTCTATTCTTTTCATTGAGTTGACCTCCGGCGCTAATTCCTGAAACCTCCGCCCAGGGCTGTAGGAACGGCAGATTCCCCCTCTTGCTCTCTCCCCGCCTCCTGGCACTGATGCCCCGGTCTTGGGGACACGCCGGGCGCCCCTCTCCTCTGCAGGGCGCGCACAGGGCTGTGCGGAGGACGGCGCATCTGGACGCGGCCCTGTTTGTGTCCACGCAGACACACAGCCAGGCCGGGGGCAGGCACACCCTCCCCGCTGGGAGCAGCAGGGACGCTCAGGCGGCTGGTGGCTAGCACTGGCCACCCTCCCAGGCTTCTCTCACATGGTCCCCTCCCCACGGGTCAGGGCCAGCCATTCCACAGGCGTGAATGGCCCGGGGTGTGGGCGCGCCGGTGGGCAGGGCGGACTTGCCGTGACCACAGGGGAGGGAATCCTGCCGCTTCCCCAGGCTCCCGGGGGTCAGGCTCGGACACGGAGTCCGCCTCCTCGAGTCTGGAACACAGACGCCCGGTGAGTCAGTAACCAGGCACTGACCCGGGGTGGAGGGGCAGGACCCGGAGCCCCCGGCTCTGCACCCTGGCACGGGGGCCGCGCGCTCCTCCTCTAACGACACCAGACCCCCGATTGCTCAGCCCGCCGACGGCTGGGGCGGCCAGTGCTTCGTGGGACCCGGTGGATGCGGCCGTGTCAGCGGCCCCTGCACGGCTCACTGGGACCTCAACGTGGGGAAGGGTGATGGCAGGGTGGTGGGCGCGGACGGGGAGGTGAGGCCGCCGGAGACGCGAGAGGCTGTTTCCGAGCTGAGGCAGGACGGACAGACGGACGAGAGAGAAAGCAGAGCCCGAGCCCAGGCCCCGGCTCCGTAATTAGGACAAACTGTGGGGAGGAATGCTGACTCGGCGCCCGCCTGTTCGCCTGCTCTCCGGTTTCAGAGTCCCCTCCGCCCGCCCCTCCTCGCCTCTCACAGGGGAAGGGAGGGAAACAGGCTCTTTCCTCGCCTTTCCCCTTTTTTAAAAAAAAATATAGTTTTATTGATGTCAGAGAGGAAGGGAGAGGGAGAGAGAGATAGAAACATCCATGAGGAGAGAGGATCATGGGCTGCCTCCTACTGGGGATTGAGCCTGACATCCTGGCATGTGCCCTGATCCAGAATCAAGTCATGACCTCCTGGTTTATGAGTTGACACTGAACTACTGAGCAACACCGGCCAGGCTCTCCTCG